TTATTATTACCCAGATAAATCTCTGGAGGTCTCTCACAAGGCAGGTCCATTCATCTAAATCAACTCAAGTAACAGCGTAGTTGTGGCTCTGATGTTTGAGAGAAGAGGCAATGCAGGGAGAGAGGTTTAATATAAGATGTAATTTTCCCCTGCAGTCTCCCTGAGCTGTATTAAAGTTTTTTGACTCCTTCATTTCCATGGGCTTTATCACAGTGCTGGTGCTCGCACAGTTGCTTATGGTAGGTTTGACATGCTGCTGGTATTCCCTTGTTATTATTTACAGAGGGTCACTTTGCAAATCTCCCACCTGAATAAAAAGGGAGGCCAAAACACCACATTTCCCTATCAACATGTTGACAAAACCAGGAGTTAAAGCCTCTCTGAATGATAAATAACTACCAGCACTCTTAGACATTTCTATAGACCTTATTATCACCAGACCTCAAGTCACTTAGGTGTAATCTTTCTAGTGCAAACAAGGCAACGAGGTCTTCTTCGTAAGACCACACAACCCTGCAGAAGGCCAAACCAGGAGAAGCTTCTAGATTTTCACTAGAATGGTAAAACTCTGCTGGGGAGAAATATTTCAATCCCAATGCACTGCATCTACCCCAGGCTTAGCAGGTGGCACTGTGAGAGGGGGAATCTGCAAGGACAATTCCCACTTCACAGCTTGAGCAATCAAATCAGCCCTGTGTGTAAAAAAAGTGGCATTTATCACTTAGCCATAAGAAAAATTGTCATGAGAAAGAGGTATTGGCACAAAGAGATGCTCTCCAGGCCTTCAGGATTTTTCCATTCCTCTCTCCATCTGTGGAGGAGGATGCTGGCTGCACCACCAAATGCTCATCCCTATCTCCAAAAAGTGTCTGACCCCTTGGACTCCTTCTGAGCAAGAACAGGTTGACATGAGACATGTAAAAACATGGAGCTTTTAAGAATTTTAGTTAGGTTTTTATTACTTCTTAATTGTTCCTTTCTTTAATAAAAGCCCCTTATTGAAAGAAACTGCTGTGACTGCAAGATTCCTTGGGTAGGTGAATACTGCATTTCTCCCAGGGGCAGAGGGTGGGAAGAATTGACTAAAACTGTAATTCCAAAAGGGAAAAGGAAGTGTCCCTGTGTTGTTATCTCCACCAACATCAGCTCTGGGACTGGGCCAAACCTGGGAGCCAGATACCTGCAGTGTGCTGCAAGAAGGGGCCCCTCACGCATTGCAAACCCAGCTCCAATCACAAGCCTGGAGGGAACTTGGGGCTTTAGGAACAACCTTGTGGAAATCACTGCGACAGCAGCCTGGAGTAAAGCAGGAGGTCTGCAACTATAACTAGGGGCCTGTGAGAAACATCATGTTGAAGCCCGATTTATTACTGGCTCTGGAAATGTGGAAACCAAAGTGCAAATGCCTAAAGAAATGAATGCCGGAGCTGCTGGAGCTACTGTTGCTCTCCAGAGTGGCCAGAACAAGCACCTTAGTGAATTTATGAGACTGTGGGGTTATTGGGAAACTATGGAAAGCAGCATCTGGCCCTCAGCCCAGGCTGCAAGGGGCTTAAAACCTGAGCTGGAATTAGCTCCCAGTAACAGCAGCAGGTCCAGGATGAGGAATGTATGTCCCCAGTGAGACGTGCCTTGGTTCTGGCCTCCATTCACCATGTACCATGGGGCTTTCCGAAAATTAGAAGGGTTTTCCCATGATGGAAAAGGCAGGCAGCACATCCCAGTGCATCATAGAATGGTTTGGGTTGGAGAGGACCTTAAAGCTCTTCCAGTTCCAACCCCCTGCCACAGGCAGGGGCACCTTCCACTAGAGCAGGGTGCTCCAAGCCCCTGTGTCCAACCTGGCCTTGAACACTGCCAGGGATGGGGCAGCCACAGCTTCTCTGGGCACCCTGTGCCAGCGCCTCACCAGTAAAGAACTTCTTCCTTATACCTAACCTAAACCTTCCCTGTTCAGATTCGAACGCAGGAAGTTTCTGCACATCTCTTTGCCTCTTTTGCACCATCAGACAGTTGCTGCGAGAAGCAGAAGGAGCTATCAGGCTTCTCTTTGTTTCACCCATTGGGACAACCCTGACGAGGCTGCCTGCATGCAAGGAGCACCACACAGAGAAGAAGGCAAGCAGGAGGACAGTGTGTCAGTGGTCACCTTTGGGTGCCCTGCTGCATGGCTGGCTCAGGTACACCCTGCAGAGGGACCCCTCACTGGGAGCGGCATTACATGAGGCAAAAGATGTTCACCCATGATGGGGCTCTCTCACCTTGTGGCTGAGCACCTCAGAGCTGCAAACACAAATATTCATTGCAAATGCTTCCAGCACCAAATTCTCCCTTCAAATGTCCACCCCAGAGATATGTTAAGAGTAGGGCACAGAGCCATAATCAAAGACAGGGATGCAAAAAGTCTTTTGGAGCACAGGATACAGCTTCAAACAGATTTCACCACTCCTTTACTCCAGACCTACTTGTGCACACTGTTTTTTGACAGTCTCTTTTTAAGATGTCCCTGCACACACCAGTGCCAAGATCCAGAGGCAGAATCTTACCTACTAACTCCCGGAACCCTTCACCCCAGCTGCCTTCTGCTTTGAGGATCTCACTGTCTCCATCTCTTCCCTCTGATTGCATGGAATATCGGTAGTGGATTTTGACTAGCAACTTACATCAGTATGCAGCAGAATTAGCCTCATCTGAAGCCCTTGTCTCTCTATCCAAACTCTCCACAACTTGACACTATATCAGAAGCCCCCCTTGGATGTCCCCAGGCTCCCAAAGAGCCTCTTTCCCAAAAAGCTTCAAGAATAATGCTCCAAGGAATGCTTACTTTGTATTCCACAAAGCTGGCACACACCACAGGCTTTGGCTCTGGAGCCAGCACAGGGCAGCTCCGCCAAGTGCATTTGGAGATGGAAATTGCTCGCCCTGTCATGGGATGTGAGCAGACACAGTGACAAGTGGGAAAGTCACCAAGGCAAAGTGGGGAGCAAAATGCACCCTGGACATGGGCTCCTGCACTGGGAAGAGCTGAGGAGCAAATTCCAAGTACAATGGCAGCCAGAAACACCATCCCCTTCCCAGGCTGGGGCTCGCAGGCGCCGGGAGCCGGCACTTGTCTGTGCAAACACAGATGCAGGAGCTGAATGGGAGCACAGTCAGCCCGAGCTATTTTTAACTGGTGCAGAGGAAGCTTTTACTTTTCATTATGAAGGAGAGACAAAGTGTCCGTCAGTTGTGCTGAATTCATTCACTCAGTGGCAGGGTGTTGACGTATGTAAAGCCCCCAGCCCTGGTCTGTGCGACCAGCAGCTCTAATCCCCCCTATTCTGCTCACAGCTGCATGGGGTCACAGAGCACAACAGCTGAAATGCACTTCTGATACACATGCCTTCGGTTGCCCCAACTTACCCTGGGGGGTTCTGCCTTGTGATTGCCATTAAAGCCAACTGGAGAGGTTCACTGCTGGTGTAAATGAGCACCAACCCATCAAGATCCTCTACATCTAGCTGAGCATGGCTAAATAAACAGCACCAACGCATCACAAGCAGACACTGGGAGTTGGATCTAGTGGTCCCCCAATTCCACTTTGCTTCCCCAGAGCAAAATCAGTGGATTTGGCAGTGGCAGCACCTTTACTTGCCAAATATGTTGGCTGGGGCTCTGGAGAGCCTGGGGGCTGGCAGGGAGGAGGCAGGGCTGGGACCAGGGCTCTCTGCCTCCCCCTTCTTGCCCAGGCTCTGCAATCTAATTGTAAAA